GTACTGACACGTGTTACTTGATTAAGAATCTTAATGGGAAGATTAGGGTTGCTAATTTTACCCTAATGATCCTCTTAGACCCCAGTTTATTTGTATTTATTTTTTAAATAATCAGAGAAGTTGAATATTCCGTCTATAGTAACACGCCGAAAAAGCTAAAAAAAAGATAGGGCTTCTTTGTCTATGGAACAATTACAAATAATCAACAAAAGAAGTGCCATGCATATTCTCTTACCACTTTTAATTATTAAATTTTCTCCATTTTAAATTGTTCAAAAAATCATTAAAACACTCATTTCTCTTCAATTTATTGCCTCCTCGTAAGATCAACCGTCCTAATTGTGTTACAATTGACCGCTTATTTTGTACACATTTAGGCGTAATCACATACTATGCCAAATTCGGAGATCGGTCTATACTAGTCCTATGATTGCATTCTCAATTGTTTATAAGAAAAATACCCTAAAATTTAGGGCATGAGTAAGGGCAGGCTAAGCCACTAATTGTACACCGTATATTGAGAATACAAAAAAAATGAAATGAATTTTTTGTGGTTTGTAATGCTTGACATGACTATCCGAAATTTTTGGTTTCCTCAAACATGTATTATGATATTCGTATATCTAGGAGTACGTTTCATAGTGTTAGTGTATGTATATGAGATTATTATACTTTAACAAGATAAGTAGTTATTAATTTTATTAATTATCATGCTTTTAATTAATCATACAACGTCTAAGCAAAAACATTTGGAAAATCAAGATTAGCACTTTTGCCACATTGCACTCTGTCTTATGTTGCACGGAATATCGTTGGGATCTCAAGGACGACGCAAGTTTTGACCAAAAGGTACTATATATATATATATATATATAGAGGAAAAGGAGAAAAATAAAATAAAAGAAACTCGTTATAAGTGCAAATTAATGTGCATTTTTTTTATCAGAATAATAATTCACAAGATTGATGGTGCTGATCAATTAAGACTGTCGTTGGGGTCAACTTAATGGAATTTGGCAGTCTCGTTAGAAATTAATTGTCATTCTTCAAGGCATCTCAGATACCATCTAAAGACAAACAAACTTTGTGGAATTCATCTTAGAAGAAAATGAAATTTTTACCATCATTTTATCTGCTAGCCATAAATTACATTGAGGACTATTTTTTTTTTCTCTTTATAATTTAACGGTATAATTTTGGAGGATTATAATCTATAGCAAACTTTGGTCATTAATATCAGAACAACACAAATCAATATATGAAAAATAATATTGAAACTTTAAATAAATGCAATTAGATTGTACAAATTACCCTTATCTATGGACTCTTACTATACTTGCATATCAGAAACAAAAAAGGCTCCAGCTAGTATAGATTAATTATTGGGCCGAATACAAATTACATACTCATGATTTGGAGTCGATTGAATTCCTTTTTTCCAGCTATTCAAAATGTACATTCTCATATACAATTTTGTCCTTAGTAATTCTACGGATGTTTGTCCCAATATTAATGCAGAGAGAAAGAATGTGAGATTTGCTCGGCACTGCCAAATGTTCGACCACCACTAATCTTTCTATATATGAATATACGTTGTGAGTTTCTATACGTTTTGAACATACGTATATGAATATACGTTTCTATATATGCAATACGTTTCGGGCCTAATTTCCCAAAACAAAAACATAACTTCTCTATCTTCTTCTTCTATTGCATTACGCATTAATATTGCATAATTAAGCTTAAGACCCAAGGAAATGATTTGGTCAACAAATCAAGGCCGTCTCGTATTTTCTCGCCTCTTTCTTGCACTAAAAGGTCCAAATTTCCATTAGCAAAAAAAAAAAGGGGTCAAAAATTCCAAATTTTAAGCCTCTCCCTTACGCAAGGGATCACGTATTGCAACTCATGAATACAATATATGTTTCTACCAAAAAAAAAAAAAAAAACTTTTCTCGTAACATATCAGTAGATTAGATTTTATATCCGTCAGATCTGCATAAAATCACATCAAAATTAAAAAATACAAAAATTTAACAGTTAAAAAAATCTGATGTATCGATACGTCTGACGCATGAGAGAATCTCTTAAAAAAATTGCATATAAATTATAATATATATTACACCAACACCAAAGCCTCTCCATCTCTCTGTCTCACTACACATGTTTCCAAACGACAAAAACAAGTAATTAACTTTAAAGCCTCTTTGCCAGAGAATCACATGTGTAAGAGTGTAGCAATGTCATATAATTAAACCCTTTTATCTAATGATGATTTCGATCAGTTAAGTTCTAAAATTATCAAATAACATTTTGTATTATTGAGCCACGTGAGTGTGTTATCCATTTTGGAAATGGAATATATGACTTTACTTCCACTCATCATAACTCAACCCCATGTGATCTTGTTCTTATTTAATGAAATTGGTCTGTGTTTCTCCACCTGGCATCATTCCTTTCAACCCAAATTAATGTGTTTTTCGAGTAGCAAAAAAAAAAAGAAAAAAAAAAAAAAAGTTTTTCCATTCATACATGGGCCCATGCTACTTATGTGGCTGTGACCCGTAATTATCTAAACTCTGCATTTCACACTATCATTATTTATTTATTTTTTCTTTCTTCAGTTATTTATTTATTTATATATTGTTCACATTTACCCAGCTTTGTTGCGGCTTGAGGAATTAGTTTAATTTCAGCCAACTTTGGTGCCCATGGTTTTGAAGAGAGCATATTTAAATTATAGTAATCTTGTTTAACAAGTTAAGTAAATAACGCTTACTTCCAGGAAAAATTAAGGGGATGTTTAGTTGGAGGATTCAAACCATGATTTGAATCATGGTTCATGATTCGCTACAGTATTTTCTCTCACAAAAAATACACGTAAATAAAAAATAGTTCTAATCACATAATTCTAATTCATAAACCAAACGTCTCTTAAAGATACAAGAACAACCCAATAATTACTGGGTCAAACAATATGAGTAGGATGATATGGAGTTTCTGTTAAATCTCGCATTATTAAAAAGGAAAGATACCAGTATATGGATAATGTTATTTTCTTACAACTCAAACCAATATTTAGCACCTAAATTATGCTTTAATTATCCTAAAAGAAGAATTAGGATGTGCCTGAAAAAGAAAAAAAAAATAACTCAAAAAGAAAAGAGAGATTGAAGTGTGAGGTTCAAAATGCAAAGAGAAAATGACTGAACTCCCTTACTATTGATTAATATTCTTTTAATTATTTGACGTTAGCAAAAATAAAGGTAAAAATCATATTTGTCTCCGCAAAATTGCAAACGCACTTTATTGATAATTTGAGCTCTGGGCCTTCAAGAAAATGAGCCGATTCCCTACCCATTGCTTAATCGGTTGGCCCAAGAGTCCCAACTAATGGGCTCTTTACAGATATAGCAATTACAGATTCTGGTTATGGTTATGAATCATGTGATAAGTTATTCACAGTTTTTATTTATAATTTATCTAATTATGAATCATAATTTGATAAATTTATCCATAACTTATCTAATTATGAACCATAACTTAACAAGTTATGGCTTATTAATTTCTATAACTAAAAATTAGCCTATATACTTTCTTAAGGTTTTTATATTGGCCTATTTTTTACTATTTCCCCTATGGCCAAAATTTTGAAATATTACGAGAATAACGAAATTTGATATATGTAGTTTTTGCTATTTTTATAACTCTGAAAATTTTGCTAAATTTTGCCATGTAATGTAATGATCTCTAAAGAACACTAAACCATAATTTTTTAGTTAATGAAGCAAAAATGAGTATAAGTGTGAGTTATCACCTATCAGCGTTTGAGATAAAAAGGAAAGTATCCTACACAAGTTAGCGAAGGAGTCAAGGAGAGTTATTTCTACCCTTGTAAGATACAAAGGGCACGCTTAGAACTAGTTTTAAAAATTTTATTTTTTTGTATAAAAATAAAAATGAAAACGTTTTTAATCTCAGACAGAAATTATTTTTAAAAATGTGTTTAGTAGTTTTATTAAGAGATTATTTTTAGTATAAAAAACCTATTAATATCTTTTTTTCTCGCTCTGCTCAAGAGAGGAGAAAACGAAAATAAAAAATAAAAAACGACTAAAAGTCATTTTTCATTTCTCTCTTATTTTACACTAAACTAAAAAATCGTTTTCATTTCTGTTTTTTATCTTTATTGCACCAAACGTCGTTTTGAAACGTTTTCATTTAAAAAAAAAAACATAAAAAAGGGATCAATTCTAAACACGGTCAAAAGCTCACATTTTCAGAAAGGTCATAACCAAATTATATGAGTGAGTAGTGTAACACAATTTATCCAAGAAAAAAGAGCACGACATTATACATAAAGTCGTAAAATGAACGGATAGTATGATGGCTTTCTTCCGGCAGCCAAAAAAAAAGTGTGGTGGTTTTTTCTTTTGACAATAGACTGATTGTTTTTCATGTATTAGCAGGTAAAAACTCGTTTGCTTGGGCAAATAACGACAATACAATTCTGGTTTAAATAAATACTGTTGAATTCCTTTTGAACAAGAATAATAAATTTTGGACTTAATAAAAAAAAGATCGAAATTTGGATAACATTTTAAGCAAATGGATTTCATTTCCGGAATATCCTTTAGACAAAAGTTCTCTACTTATTTATTTTATGTCAAAGACAAATTATAAAACAACAGCCGACAAAATAATTGAAAGTTTTTTTTTTGCCATTTAATTCAGAATGTTGTACCATGGAGTTTTGTTTTAAAAAAAAAAAAATCAATCCAATGACGTAATCCGCTTCTGCCACTTCTTCTCTAGCAAAACAAAATACAAACAAGCTAACTGATCCAAAAAGAAAAAAAAAATGAATAAAGCTAGAAATGTTCATTATTCAAAATCAAACCTCAAACCTCAAAAAAAAAAAAAAAAAAAAAAAAACCAAAAGCTTAACCACGCTATATATATATATATATATATATATATATATTATCCACCCCCCATTTCTATAGATGGAGAGAAAGATCAAGTTTTGGGTCTTTACCCTTATCACAATTCCCAAGATTGTGATTGACACTCGTGACTGATGATGCATGTTGAGATGATCCACCACCACCATCACCACCAAATGCATTGCATGTTCTTATGCTTCTTTGCCAATTCAAGAAGCTTTCCTCGTCCTCTTCACATCCATTGGCCGCACAACTTCCACCATAATACACAAAGTTGTCGAACCTCGGCGCACCATTGGACCCGAAACGGTCGGAGAATTGGTGTTGAGTTGGGAAGTAGCGGAAAGTGGCTGCGTGGGCGTTTATGTACATTGAAGGGTGCAAAAGGCCTAAATGGTGATTAGGGGCAAAAACCATTGGTTGTTGTTGCGGATGAGTTGAGAAGTTTAGCGGTCCATTCTCATGAGACGCCCGTTTGGCCTTCCTCGCGGCGGTTCTTTCCTTCTTGTGGGCGTTTTGGTGACCCCCCAAGGCTTGAGAGCTGTAAAACTTTCTTGAGCAGAACAAACAGGGGAATACTCTTGATGTTGTTGTGTCTTCTCCTCCGTTGGTTGCTGCTCCAACATGGGTTGTTTTCTCTTCATCTTCCATGTCAGTCTATGCAAACAAACAACAAAAAAATAGAACAAGATTGAAAAAAAAATGAAAATCAGAAGTTGAAGTTGAACCCAAAACCCAGATGAAGATTAAGAACTATGAAGAGAACCTTCGAGAAAAAAGTGTTGAAAAA